ATTGAAGTCAAAAATTCTTCTTAGAAATGATCTAGTCACAAATAATAAATAGTTTTAAAAATTAACCTTGAGAAAATGATAATGTGGGACGGTGAGAGAATACATGAAGAAGAAAAAAGTTGGGTGAGTGAATGAGAAAAGGAATGAAAGCAGAAATAAACAATTGTATATCGGTGGAGAGCAGGGTGTAGTAGAAAGGACAGTGAGCTGGCGGAATCTGAGTCCTCGGTTTGTGTCTCACTTGCTGTAAAGCCCTGGGCAAGTCAGCTCTTCAAATGATCTGAATCTTCTCATCTGCACAGTGGGTCAGAGAAGGTTGAGACGAGAAATATGAAGGATCCCTTCAGGACTTACAGTCATCTCTGCTCGCTCCTTATCTTATCTTCGTTTTTTGTTTTTTTCTTTGGTTTTTTTTTAAATAATAATAACAAATACATTTAAGAATAAGAGATCCCAGGATTTTCTTAAAGCACTGGTTACCAGGGTGCCACAGGCCCCAGTGAGAAGCTGATAAATCTGATGTGGTCTTCAGGAGTATGTACATATACAAGGAAATACTTGGTTGAGAGTTTCAGAGAGTTCTCAGGCACCTGAAGGCTCACAAGAGGATTGCCATTGCCATGAGGGAATGTTGACCTTAGAGCTTTTTTTCTCCTCCAAGGTGACCTCTGGACTTTGTCTTCTGCAGGGGACTGCTTATGTGTGTTTCCTTGGGATTTTGAGGCATCCCAGAACATAGTGAAAAAATTGGAAAGACTTTCCTTACATATAAACCTTGTTATTCAGTTGAACCAATTTTCTCTTTGTAAATCAGGACATTTGCAAATGATTCATTAGCTTTGGCCCAGATAACTCCATAACAAATGCATTTGCTGCGTGGTGCAGATGATGTATCAGCACAAACAGCTCACTGGGCCCCCATTAATTATATAGAGAGAATGAAGGAAGTATGAAGAGGCAGTCACAGAAATTCCAGTTAGGGGTATATTTCCCTGGGAGAACTAGGTACCCTATGTTGAAAGAATCCTATAAACTATCTGATCCTTTTTTTTTCAACAAACATGACAGTGAATCCTTCATTCTTTGTTTCATTTAGTCACCTAATATTGACTGAGCATCAAGCAAGGATGCTAGGTGCTAGAGATAAATAAATAAACAAAAGAGATACACCCCTTGTCCTCATGGAACAAATGTGTGGAGGTGATAGTAAGAAAAGGATCACAGAAAAGAATATACAATTACCATAATTATCAGGAGTTGTGAGAGCAGTTAAAAGGTTTAGGGGGTAGAACACACCTGGTAAGGAGAGGTCAAGGACATTTTGGCAAAGGAAGTGATTTTAGAGCTGAATTGTGAAGGGTAAGATGGAAGTAAACTGGCTGAAAAGTTGGGGAGAGGGGAGCTCAAGAGTTACAATACATTGGGCTGAGGCACATGCGCCATATTTGTTGAAAAAAAAAAAAAAGTCCAGTGACACGGGAGGATAAAAATATAATTAGAAGAGGTTGGAAAGGCATAGGGGTCACTCATACAGGGTCTACAAACATCTGAAAATTTTGACTTTTAATGCAGGGGCAATGAGATGCCTGTGGGGGAATTGAAGGGATGCAGAAATTAATCAAAACACCAATGCAAACAATTTCAGGTTAAGATTTGGCATGAGAAAAGCATTTACTGAATGTTTCCTGTGTGTACCATTAGACCAGCAATAGGCAAACTTTTCCACCAAAGGCCAGATAGTAAATATTTTAGGCTATGTGGGCCATGATGAGTTTTTTTTTTTTCCTTTTTTCACAACACTTTACAAATATAAAACCAATCTTCTCTCAAAGACAATGTTAAAATAGATTAAAGGCAGGATTTGGGCACCCAGTGTGTGCTCAACCCCTGCACTAGATGACCATAAGTTCTATTATGAAAAAAGATAATAGTTCTCTTTCCCACTATAGAATTTTCAATGCTCAAAACAGCAGCAGGCACATAGTGAGTACTTAATGTAAATTTATTAAATTAATTAGTGGCTGAACCAGGTGTTTTAATTATGTAATATATCTATTGATGAGAAAAACAAATGATATGCTGATATCATTGTCATTGACTTTTTCATTATTGTTGCCACTGTTATTCTTGCTGTCATTATTCACAAGTCAAAGATAAGAAAATAGTTAACTTTGCCCAAAATCATATAGACAACAAGTGACAGAGCCAGAATTTAAACAAAGTCTACAAAATTTCTAATCCTATGCTCTTTCTTATGATTACACTGCCTCTTTTGTAAATGACACATAAACACTGTGTAATATTAGTAAACATCAGATGACAGAAGCATCACCAAATACTAAGGGGGAAATGTGCCATTTTCAGAATGGGGGACAGAGAACATGCACCAATCTCCTCCTTTCTCCTGAGATGATGGTAAGTGTTAAAGACCTGGAACCAACCCACATGCCCATCAAGGATAGACTGGATTAAAAAAAAAAAAAAAGTGACACATATACACCATGGAATACTATGCAGCCATAAAAAAGGAAGAATTCATGTCCTTTGCAGGCACATGGATGAAGCTGGACACCATCATTCTCAGCAAACTAACACAAGAACAGAAAACCAAACACCGCGTGTTCTCACTCATAAGTGGGCATTGAACAATGAGAAGACATGGACACAGGGAGGGGAACATCACACACTGGGACCTGTAGGGAGGTGGGGGGCTGGGGGAGGGATGGCATTAGGAGAAATATCTAATGTAGATGATAGGTTGATGGGTGCAGCAAACCACCATGGCACGTGTATACCTATGTAACAAACCTGCACGTTCTGAACATGTATCCTAGAACTTAAAGTTTAATTTTTTAAAGAAAAGAAAGAATGCTTACAGGCCGAAAACTTTAACAAAAAAAAACAAAGAAAGAAAGAGAAGGAGATGGAGGGAGGGGAAAAGAGGGAAGAAAGGAGAGAGCATGGGAGAGAATAAAACAAAAAAAAAGCATCATGGATGAGAGAAGTCACGCTTTTTAGGATCAGGTGACACTGTTCACTAATGAGGCAGAGTGTGTATGTATGAAAGAGATTTTCACTAAAGTAATAATTACCTGCCCAACAGGTTACAGATATGAATCTCTCTCATAATCTCATATGACCAGGTGTTACTGCAAGTTCTGTGGATTTTATCTATCAGGGAAGGAAGGTGTCTGTCTCTTCTTGTAAGCATTTCAAATATTTATGTTATTTTCTTGGCTTTCCTATTACTTGGCTTGGAAGATATTGAGAATTTCCTTTTCCTTGTCTCATGGAAGAAGAAGAGAAAACAACTTACCTAGAAAATTACGTTTTTCACAATGGCAGCAAAAACCCAGGTTACTCTAATGTCTGTCATCCCCTTTACCTACCCTAGTCTTCTTATGCATATTGAGGAATGAGGAAGAGGGATGCTAGTGTTCCTAACAGGAAGGTTGCTTGCTGGTTCCTTGCAAGATCTAGGGGTCAGACATGAAGGAAGCCAACCCAAAGTTGGCTATTTTTAGGTTTCTATTTAGAATATAAGCGACAGAATATTTTGTCTTTAGCTTTGGGACTTAGATACAATTTAGACTATACAAATAAAAATGTCATCAAACGTCTTATTATAGCAATATTCAGTCCAGTTTGGAAAAATAGCACTGAAAATTACAGGAGGACATTTTCTGAGGGATATTGATGGTGGGAGCAATTTGACAGACACTCTAGTATAATTGTTAGCTTGGAGAGACTTAGAGATATCATAAAAGGACAGAGCACAAAGAAAAAAAGATAATCAGAAATTTTGGAAATAAACACATAAACCAAAAACAATAATATGTTTAAAATATGAAGCTAACTAAAAAAATATATGAAGCCAACTAAAACATGACATAATTTTGAGCTATTTTATCTTTTTTATTAGCAGAGTCTACAATTTTACTGGTGTTCTGAACATCCCCCTTGGCCTGATGGTGGCCAATGCCATTAGGAGCAGTGTGAAGACAGAGTCGTAGTATTTTCTTTGGCTCTATATTAATTCAGTTTTCAAATTCAATTGTTAGAAGCAGCCTAGAAACACACCACAGAGGACTGAATTAGGGGACACTCTCAGGGTACATGTTCAGCCCTTGCTCTACTTTCGTTCTTAAACTTTGCCCCCATTATTACCTTGCTTGCCTGTCCTTAATCCCAGTCCTGTCCTAGCATTCCTAACCACTCTGCAAGGCTGCATTATTTTATCTTTCTATCATCACCATAGCAAAGTGACTGGCATCATGTAGGTCCCTGCCACTCAAAGAGTGGTCCAAAGACCAGCAGTATGAGCTTCCCCTGTAATCTTTTATGAAATGCAGAATCTTAGGTGCTACCCCAGACCTGCTGTAAAAGTATTTGCATTATAACATAATCCCTAGATAGACTGTATGTTCGTCAAAATTACAAATCACTGCCCTAACTCAATTTTCTTCCTAATGAGGACCTACCTGCTCTTATACCTATTTAAACTAGTTGTTTGGATTTTTTTGTGTTTTTTTGTTGTTGTTGTTGTTGTTGTTGTTGTTCTTATTGTCATTTTAAAGCTGTCACTATAAAATACAGAAAAACCTCAGAACGAGAACTGGAGAGAAAGAGTGATACAATGGTGACGATCACACAATTTGGAGTGGGACAGCGTTGACTTCAAGTTTTAGTTTCACCACTATATAGCTGGACACCTATTTACTTTTCCTTAACTTCAGTCTTCTCAAATGGGCACATTAGTCAGTTCAGGCTTGGCTACACTGTGTAACATACAGACTTCAAATTTCAGAATTCACGTCTACATGTCAATGTATGGCTATGACTCTCCTCTGTATTGTCTTTGCTTTGACAAAACTAGGCTGATTGGGCAGACTCAATCTCAGACTTTGTTAGTCTAATAGCAAAGAAAAATCAGATATGACAAAGCCCACTCAAAATCTTGAAGCTTCTACTCAACAGTGACATCTGTCACTGCCACTCACCTTCTGCATCGCCTAGTCAGCCTTCAGTGATCAGGAAGCATACTCCTCTCACAGGGAGAGCCACTGCAGAGAGGGAAATAGGGGTGTTAGGCAAAATAGTAATCAACAATGGAAAGAATAACAATACTATCTCCCTCTCATATTAGTTTGAGAACTGAATGCCTTAAGACACAAGAAATCCTTGATCCTTTATTCCATAGCTGGGTAGCTATTGCACCCTTCTGAACTTCAGTTTCCTTATCTGGAAAATGAGAATAATAAATACCAGCACATAATAAAGCTTTAAAAGGCATGCCTATGTGACACATAGTAGTTATTTAGCAAAAAGAGACTATGAAAATAGCAGAAATAATTATCATCTTTTATGCTTTCAGAGGTAGAAAATGCCTAATCTTCATAAAAAATTTTGAGTTAGAGATGTTGGGCGAGACATCAAAAAACTGAGAGTTGCTGCATTGTCTCTTTCCTCTGGGTCTGCATCCTTCTTTGCAATAGCTTGTCAGGAAGCCTGCTATCCTTTGGAAGCACAGGATGGAAGAGAGTGTGTGTTTGCAGAGATAACATGGAGCGAGTTCAGGGGTTACTAATTGGGTTTCTGCTTACCTTTCATATTCATTCAGAATCCCAACCAGAACAGGTGTTACAGCAGCCTCCCTCCATCTTTCTCGATCCTCTCTCCCATCTGCTGACAGCACGCATGTCTCTTCCAAAGTCACTTCCCCACTTTAATTGTAAGTCTAATCAGAAACTGATGTGGCTGCAAAACTGGGAAGAGACAAACATGTCGCCTATGAAGATATTTTGAGATTGGATTTGATAGTACAATAAAAGTCCATACGAGGAGTGTTTAACTCTCTCCTGGAAGTGGAGTCTGACAGCCCTGACCCGCTACGTGGCCCACATACTTACCCCTTACAGTCTGATACTGGTTCAGGGGATTTAGAAAATGATGCCCAATTGCAAAGTTTTTAGAGTCTAAAAATTGCTTCTATGCAGTGCAGTTCATTTAATCCTTCCCAGAACCCTAAGGAAATGAATGTAGCCATCATAGTTCTGTTTTACAGATGAGGACACAAAGAGTCAGCAAGGTGATGTGACATGCTTTCGCGGGCACAATTAGAAAATGGTGAAGGCAGGGGGAAAGCCCGTATCTTCTACTCCCTTGTCCTTCACGTGGTGCACACATTCTCTACACCATTTTTCCTTCAGAATCCCGTTACCCTTTGGTGCAGAGTTAAAGTAGAGTTTCTGGAGCCATAAACCTGAGAGAACAGACTCTAGACAGCACTCACCCCTGTAAGTCAACCCCACTACTCTCATGCTCCATTTGATGAGGATTTTCATTTTCCCATCACCTCTGTCACTACTGCCATTTGGCCTCCTGGCTTCCAGCCTTGACTATCCTTATCCACAGGCAACCAGAGGAAACTCTTGAGTGCAACTCTGACCATGTCAGTTTCTTCTCTATTCCTGCAAAATGTTGCTTTAGAAAAAGGTACTCTGTGTCATGACCTACAGTGCTTGTTATTTCCTGCTCTCCTTTCTAACTGTGACCCTCTCCATTACACCATTCTCACTTTTGCACTTAAGCCAGATTGAACTGCTTGAAGAATCTGGATTAAATCAAGTTTCTTCTCTTTCGCATCTTGCAAATGCTGTTCCCTCTGCTATATGGTCCTCCCTTCACTTCTCTTCTGTTCATTGAGGAGTCACCTATAGATACTCTGCAAAGGTGGTACCTAGAAGTGTCCATGATGTGCTCCTCATCAGGGAGGGAAAATATCCTGAAAGCACTCGATGTCTGCTGCAACTCAGTACTTCTTGTTGCACTAGCAATGTTCCTCTGCAGGTCCTCTTTCCCTACCCTTAGCAGACACATTAGACTGGAAGATCCTTGAAGGCAGGAACTTTTCTTACCTATTTCTATACTCATAGCTTCTATTGCAACACTGAGTAAAGCCCTGTATCAGTCAATCTGTTAAAACTAAAAATTCTTAGCATGAAAGATTCTTCTACTTACTCCAGATCACAGAAATGTAGAGTGCGAAGCTCTCTCAGTCTTTATGTAATTCCCCTGCTTCAAATCATCCAAATTGCCTTGAACTTAAGGCTTAAGAAGACTTATGCACAATCCAGCCTTCCAGCTTTATCTTCCTCTCTCTTCCTTTATCTATCACATCATCTATCTGAATAAGGGGCACATATACCCTGTGAATATCTTGAGTACTTTTTCTCCTGTTTGCTCACTGCTTCATTTCTAGAACCTAGAAGAGTGTCTTTCAACTCTGGCTGCATGTTATCATTGCCTAGGAGGCTTTTAAAACATACTGATGCCAGAGGCCTACCCTATGCCAATTAAATAGAATTACTTGGATGGGCCAAAGATCAGTATTTCTTAAAAAGTACACTAGGTTATTTTAATACGCAGCCAGGATTGATAAACACTGGAACAAAATAATGCTTGGCACAGAATGGGTATTTAAAAAGCATTTGCTCAAAGAATAATGCATAAACACATAAACGTCCTGTGTTAAGATGTAGTTACTAATGTGCATTCGTTATCAGACCTAAGCCCCAAGCACACGTGCATATTCTGGCTGGGAGCTGCTTGAGGGTGAACAAGCTGTATTACATATTTTTGCTGCTTCAATTCTAACTTATAATAGAAGTTCAATGTTTATTAAATGAATTTGCTGTTATGTATACCCAGGACAAGAAGCAGGAAGATCTACTGGACAGATGGAGAAGAGTGATGTAAAAGAGGATGCATGGAAAGAGGACACTTTGGAGTCAGATGGATCTGATTTCCAACTTTATTACCTACCAACTCTGTGAACTCTAAGCAAGTTTCCTAATTTGTAAATGGGGGTAGATTACCCCTCTCAGCATGATTGTGCATCTTAAATGGAAAAAACAGCATGAAAGTATTTATCTCAGTACCTCATACATTAAAGATACTTAGATAATGTCTCTTCCCTTCTCCTTTCTTTATCTTCCCTTTGACACAAGTCTAGCTAGGCTGATTAAGTTGAACCTTTGAGAGATGATCAGAGAAAAATGGAGAGAGAGAGAGAGACAGAGAGACAGGGAGAAAAAGAGAGAGGGAGAGAGAGAAAGAGAGAGAGGGAGATAGAGAAAAAGACAGAGGAGGGCAGTGGGCAAAGATGGAAGTGAGTCAGAGGAAAATCTGATGGTGGTTATAGAATAATGAAATAGCTGTTATTGACCACAGCCAAAACACAGCCCAGTCTTTAAGCCTCACACTAGGCATTCTTTTTTCCTCTGCCCAATCCAGACCTGCAACACAGCCATCAATAACTGTTCTTCATAAGCAACAGACAGTAAGTGCCATGAGCACTAGTGACAATATTTATCACCAGGTAAGCAGTTCCACATAGGGGTTGCTTGGGCCAAGCTCCTAACCATTTGGAAGAACTCCCAACTCTACTCCTGATGCCTTCTGTCCTAGTCTTTCTTGGAATAAGGGGTGTGAAAACAACGCCGGCCAGGGAATGTAAAGCAGCTGGCTTCTAGTTCACCTTTTATGTAGTCACAAATGTATTCACCTATACAACGGAGGCAGGGACTCAATGAGATTGTCACTTGATGTCCCTTCCAGTGTTTCATAGATCTGGGGCTCATTGGAAGTGCATTTTATCTCATTTAAGCAGTTAGTGATACATTTGACCAACCATACTACATCTAAGGAGATTTTACTTGATCTCATCTTTGGAGATGCTGAGACAAATTATTTTTTTGTAATGGGTTGAGCTACAAATTTGAGGTGGAAATAATATCTTTTTAATTGTTCTAACGATTTGCACTAGTTCCCAGTTGCCTTAATAACATGAATTGTAACTTTTAAGACTTCTCTCTTCTGATTTGTTTAAAACTGACAAGACTCAAGTGTCCCAAAAAGAAAAGTTAGTCCAAGGTATAACATAAATCTGAAACTCTTCCAAGGGGTTATTTGTTACTAACTTCATCCTTAGAGGGCTGTGAGCATTTTTCTTTGAAATCCTAGAAGCAATTTCTCTGTCTCTCTTACTCATCTACCTTATATTTCTCCCTTTTAAAAATCTTTCCTTAAAAATGCTATGTTAAAATTTCCCAACCTTCACCAAACTTGAAGCTAGGCAGAGCCTTGGAAATACTATAGGTTGACAAACTAGATAAGCTAAACTCTTATTCTTAGGGAGAAAGTCCTTTATCTCCTATGTATCTTTCTTTGAGTTTCTCTTTGGACGTGGCTTTTCTCATCACAAAGGTGATGCATTGGTATAGGCAAAAGTAGTCAACCAGCTGGGCATGCTGGCTCACGTCTGTAACCCCAGCACTTTGGGAGGCCAAGACGGGCAGATTATGAGGTCAGGAAATCGAGACCATCTTGGCTAACACGGTGAAACCCCATCTCCACTAAAAATACAAAAAAAAAGAAAAAAACAATTAGCCAGGCGTGGTGGCGGGTGCCTGTAGTCCCAGCTACTTGGGAGGCTGAGGGAGGAGAATGGTCTGAACCCAGGAGGTGGAACTTGCAGTGAGCTGAGATTGCGCCACTGCACTCCAGCCTGGGCGACAGAGCGAGACTCTGTCTAAAAAAAAAAAAAAAAGGAGTCAACCACGTGATCCACTTTAGCTCACTATGGAATCATTCTGGAATTTTGAATAAAGAATACCTATAAAAGTACTTTGTTCCTTCTCTGCCTGTCCCCTGTGAAAATATACTTTTCTTAGTGCTCTCATGGGCACTGGCTGGGTCAAGAGAGAATTTCAACATTCAAGAATCCTGGGTTGCATCAATTGCCACCATTCCCACTATAATTTACAGATACTGAAGACTAGAAAGTGTACGTATGCACAAATGACAAGGATTTAGAAATCCAGTTCATATCCAAATATCTTTCCAAAGAATGTATTCTGCCCCACCAAAGAAATACTCTACAAATCTTTGGTTTTGTTTTTTCGTTGCAACCTGCTCTCTCTTACACTTGCTAAAGCACGCATAACCCCTTCCTCCCAGTCTCTGTTTCCTGCTTCTTTCTCTAGACTCATCTCCCAACATACTTCCCTTGCCCAGACCACCCCAGCCACACATCCTCTCTAGTCCACAAGCACTCCAAACTCTTCCCCACAATGAGGAACTCAAGGCATGCTTTACCCACTGTGGTGGAATATTTTAATGCTACTTTCCCTCCCCCTACCCGAACATCTACTCCAAATAAACACAAATTTTTGTCTGGATCCTTAGCTCCATGAGGACTAAGATTTTTCTCTGTTTTGTTGATATCGTTTGCACGTTTGTCCCTTCTAAATTTCATGCTGAAGTGTGATTCCCAATGTTGGAGGTGGAGCTTGGTGGGAGGTGATTGGATCGTGGGAGTGAATCCCTCATGAATGCTTTAGCACCATCCCTTTTGTGATAAGTGAGTTCTTGCTCCATTAGTCCATGTGAGATCTAGTTGTTCAAAAATGTGTGGCACCTCTTCTCTCTTTTCTCTTGCTCCTGCTCTCACCATGTGATGTGCCTACTGCCCCTTCACCTTCCACCATGATTGGAAGCTTCCTAAGGCTTTGCCAGAAGCAGAGGTCAACACCATGCTTCCTGTACAGCTACAGAACCATGAGCCAATTAAGTTTCTTTTCTTTATAAAGTATCCAGCCTTAGGTATTTCCTTATAGCAATGCAAAAAGGACCTAATCCATTTGTTATTGCTATATCTCTGGTGTTTAGAAGAGTTTCTGGCACACAGTAGGTATTTAACACG